TTGTGTTTTTATTGTGTGCGTTTTTGCGCAATTTTTGTTTAAAAATGCGCCCGACTTTTGTCTAGTGAGTGTATATTCGATCGGATCACTGGATGTGAGGTGTCTTAGCATCCTATCATGTATTCATGATCAATGATGCAATCATTAATAAAAATAGACTATTTCATGGCCAGATGGTGCATTGATTGAGTAGTCTAATAAATTACAGCAAAACATATAAATAGACCCGCTATCTCTACTCATTGACCAAAAAAACGATGCACTGGTTTTGCTTTTTACGCTACATTCGAATTCGAGGGTCGAGGTGCATAGTACCGAAATAGCGTTCCACTGTTTTATACATATGCTGGGCATCTCTATATATTCGTTCGGAGTATCAATGTTAGCGAGTCATATTATTATTATATTAATATTTTTATTTTATTTGTTATTTGTTGCGTTGAACATACAAAGGGAAATTGTTCACGAATTTAATAAATTCAATAAAGATTCTTTGCAAAGAAGAACCCTCACGTGAATCAAAAGTTATTTACGAATTTCAATTGTTAAAAAAAAAACCAAGTTTTTTTTTTTCTTAATTAAAAAAAGATCTTTTTACCCTGATCTTTTCCTCGTGTTTATTATTAAGTACCAATTGGATCAATTGGCTATTGCTATAGAAAAATAAACTTCATGCAAACATCTAAAGTTATTTACAAATTTAGATTGTTAAAAAAAAAAAAATCAATTAAGCTTTTTTTCCTTTACAAATTAATCAATGTATTTTATTAAAAATAAATTTTCCTATTATGGTCAAAATTAAGAAAACTTGTTTGTTTATCGATCATTGTATTGACCGATAGCAAAATAAAAATGTCTAAAGCGAATCACGATTTCCTCTCGGTCAAGCATCTCCTCGACCCTGACGTTTTGAACAAAATAGATAATTTTTCGGCTGTCAAATAGATGGAAATGGCATGATATAGCAATGTAAAAAATATCCGCTACCATTTATCATTTTCGGAAAATGAAAATATTTTTGTTCAAATTATTTCAAGCCAGCGTAGCAAAAAGAAAAAAACGACCATCGACAATTCAGTTTACTAAAGTCGAACAATAAAGTTTTTAGAATATTCGTTATTCGTTATTATTGTTTTACAACAGAATATTTCAAATTTGGGTATATAAAGAAAAATAATTTACACAAGATATAAAATTTACGACATTTAGAAAGGAACCGTAACACAGAAACCTTTCAAATCTCCATTCTATTCATTAAAACACCAAGTCGAATTTTATATATTATATTTTTATATAATGTCATATGAATACCGATTATCATCATCATCACCAGAAAGAAAGAATTTTGTATATAAAATTTATAATGAAATTTGTATCAATTCATATGGTAATGAAAGTAGAAAAGATTATTTTTTTTCATTGGTCAAAAAAAACAAGGAGCTTTCTGAAAATGAAAAGGAATATTGTAAGGAAAGGTTTATTTATAAGTTTGAATTAGATAATGCAACACATAAATGGGGCAAACCAAAACAATGTAACAAATGTAAATTGATAAGATACTCTGATAGATTCTGTGAAGGTTGCATTGGTTTACAATTACAGAGTCTTTTCACCACCTGGACATCTGGGAATAACATAATTGATGATTTTATTCAACAATGTCAAATGAAATCATCCCTGCCAGACTGTATTTTAGAATGGATACCTTTTGAACAATTTAAAAAAGTAACAAAGTTGACTGAAGGTGGATTTAGTTCGATTTTTACTGCTACATGGGCAAGAGGACAAATAAATGATTATGATGAAAATAAAAAGGAATTTAGTTATTTTGGAAGGCAAAAAGTAGTATTAAAAGGTTTAAACAATTCAAGTAATCCAGAAAAAGCCTTTTTTGATGAGGTTGGTAGTTGTCATTTAAAATAATATTGTGTTATGCATATAATACTAATTGATTTTATATTCAATAGGCAATGAATTATTGTAAAATTAAATCAAAGATGATTGTTCCTTGCTATGGTATAACTAAATTCCCAGATAATGGAAACTATGCAATAGTTTTAAATTATCTAGAAGGAAATTTAAGGGATTATTTACAAAAAAATCATTTAAATTTAACATTAAAAGACAGAATTAAAATCCTTGGTTCTTTATGCAATTCATTATATCGCATACATGAAAAAGATTTAATCCATTGTGATTTACATAGTGGCAATATACTTGTGGAAGGAGGTTGTTGTTATGTTACAGATTTAGGATTATGTGGACCAGTTGATGAAAAGTCATCAAATAAAGTCTATGGAATTGTGTCATATCTTGCTCCTGAGTTGCTTAGAGGCAATATCATGAAGAACACCAAAGAATCAGATATCTATAGTGTTGGGATGTTGATGTGGGAAATATTTGCAGATCACCCACCATTTGATGATAGAGCTCACAATCATTGTTTAATCTTTGATATATGTGCAGAAGGTTTACGACCACCAATATTACCTGGAATGCCTGAAGATTATGTGCAAATGATGCAGAGATGTTGGGATGTGGATCCATCAAAAAGACCAACTAGTGAAGAGCTTTGGGACTTTGCTATAAATAAATATGAGGAAATTCCTGAAAATAATAATGATAATAATAATAATGATAATAGTAATAATACTACTAGTGGTGGTGGTGGTAGTGGATCGCAACAAGTACACAAATCACATCCAGATGCATATTATAAAAGTAGAATATTAGATGAAGAGATTGCTAAATCTAAAAGCTTGAAAATTTATACAAGTAATGATAGTTTGTTAAATAGTCTTGATTTTAACTCTTTTCTCTAGAATATTGACAAAGGTGATTAAAATTTTCATTATTAACCAATTGGAAATGACTATCCATTAATTATTACTAACAATATCAATTAATTAATTAATAGGCATTAGATTCTAGTAACATTAGTAAAAGAAAAGATGCGATGAATGACTAATTTAATCTCCACTATAAATTTATTTTTATCTTTTTATTTTTATCCTTATTTGTTTTTCAAAGCTAAATTATAATAATGTTTTAAATTTAATCTTCAAATTATTATTATCATTCATTTTATTTGGTTTTATTCCAATAAACCTTCAATGTAATTTGAATACTCAATTCATAACGAATAAAACAAATGATTTGAATAAACCAAACCTTATCCGAACCATTAAATAATAATAATGGCGGAATATTATAATAACAATAGCAAATAATAGTAATAATAATATATGACGAAACTTTTGAATTTAGTCATTGACGTAACTAAATATTGACTAAAGGTAGTTTCTCACCAGAGCCATTTTGATGATTTGACTAAAGTAAAAGCTCTTGACGTAAGTAAAACTACTGACATAAGTAAATAAATACAATTGATACAAACAGCAATAATGATAATGATAGAATAGGATTATCAAAAGCTCAAAATGTGTGTTCTGGGGATAGATAAAGAACTATTATATCATTGTATGTATATTGCAACGATGCAAGAGGAATAATCCTGGGAAATTAGAAATTTTATTTAATTAAACTACGTATATCATTGACGACGATCATATAATTATCATAATTAGAAATACTCAAGATACGAAAGTGGTGTTTGACTATGAAGAGGTATGTAGATATATAGAAATAATTAACATTGATTCAGGTACTTTAAATACGTATATGAAATAATTGAATGAGCCACTGCTTATATAGTAAAAAAAATTCTCTATTGTTGATACTAAAATGAGATTACTTAAAATGTTGTCGAAATTGACATGCTAGAACTGATAGTTGTGTTTTCGACTATGGATAAATTAGGCAAAAGATTGATTCTATCTTTAATCTGAACAAAATTATTGGCTATTTTTTCTAAGTAACATTTCACTATTAATGAATTTTTTAAAAATTTTTTAACGACGCAACAATCTGAAACTCTTAAAGGAATTGTATATTCGCGTATTTTAGAAGAATGATAAAAAGAATTATTATAAAAATCAATCCCGAAAACTATCACACGATTACTTATCACTTGAGTTCCAATAAAGGGTATTTGGAGGAGCTCGTCAATTAGGAATTTCGCGTCAGCACATTCAATATCTTTTCCCTTGAACAGTTTTCCGAATCTTATATCGATCCCATCCTTGCAAAGACAATTTATTTTTTTCCAGTCAGAATCTTTTTTATCTGTATGAGGGATTAACTGCAAAATCTCCGTAAAAGATATTTCCCAGTTAGCTGAATCGAGCATTAGAAGAACCTGTAAGTCCAGCCTATCCCCGGATTGGACAGAACGCATCATTTCCTTTCGCGTTTGTGATGAATCGGCTATTTTTTCCTTAAAGTATAAAATATGAATATAGTAATATAAAAAATCGTAAATAACTTCAAAACAATTACCATGAACGCTTCAGACACCGTTTGTAATAATTAAATATAGGGTCCACAAATCTAGAAACCGCGTGGACTACATAAGAGTATTCACTGTACTCGCTCTCACCTAGCAAGGGTCTCAAGCTCCGGCAATTTCTCCTATAAATATATGAGAAAAAAAATTTAGTTCCAAATATCTTTTAGAATATATTTTTCAGAACTTTATTTTTTCAGTTATTTTATAAATACCCTCTGTCACATCCAAATCAGAGATCTCATACCCATGATATTCTTCATGGTTGTTTTCTTTGTTTCTTTTTCTTGGCTTAATTCTATCTAATTTGGGCTTTTTTTTAATTACACGCACATGGGCTGTACAAGGAAGTCCCTATTGGTTTTTTTTTGTTGGTGTGATTGATTTTTTTTTTTAAATGACAAGGAATGTATATCAGTCACAAGACATTGCAGATCAAATGTCATTCATTATAAGCATTACATAATAAAATTTGTCATCCACTTTTAACAAGTGACTTTTCAAACATAATAAAATTTTTAGAGACAGACTAGGGCTTCCTAACAACTATTAAAATAGGAGTCTAGCTTAATTATTTATTATTCTACACCAGGCTGCAAAAATTACTTTTTTTCATATTTACTTTAAGATTTTCTTCCAACTAACATGCAGAATAAAGCAAACTTAACAGTAATAGTGGAGTCAAAGTGTTCCTTACAAAATTGTTTATAATCACTTGGAAGGTTGTAATTGGGAAATTTTTGACATAAACCAAATTTCAAAAACAATATAATGAAAAAATATATTCATGAAGTTGAATTTCATTTTAACATAGCATGAAATATTAGTAGTCACTTTATACTTAAATATATGCCTCATTATTTTAGTTTACTTTCCGCGATTGGTTCAGTTTGGGCGGGTAAAAGCACCAAGGTTTCATCTTTAATTTCGGTGGTCACCGATTTTAATTCAGAATGATTGGTTCAGTTATAGTTGCTTAACAATTTCACCAGGTTAAATAATCCGGCTAATTCGGTATTATTAAAAGAACTGGTATAATTGTAAAACGAAATTATCCAATCAAAAGGAATTTCTCACTCAAACACCTACCTCCATAGTTGATTAATTGATTATGAACGGACGATCTAAATTTAAAAACTTTTATTTAATTAATTTTCTTTTCTGAATTATTTAACTGAAATGAAGAAATTTTCACATTCTATTAAAAGCATTTCTATATCAAAATTATTAAATTATCATCACCACAACAACCATAATAATGATAATCAATGGATAAATGGGTACAATTTTTATTCTACATACGCATCTTCAAAAACAGTTAGATTAAAAAAATCTGGTGATAAAAACGTAATTTGTGATTTTAGGAGTGACACAGGTATTTATATAAATATGCAATGATAATTTTCAATAATTGCAATAATAATTTCATTATAATGACTATCATGCTGATTACAATTATTAGTAACAACTCCAACACTTGAAATGTTTAATATAATGAATAAAGCATCTGGTGGTGATGATATTTTCAAGGTGGTTAAACACAAATGTATTTATTAATTCCTCCTAAATGCTCTGATTACAAATTATTTATTATTGTACTATGTGTATATATATATATAGGAGGATGAATCAACCAATGATCTTGAAAATTTTATGGCAGATTTGACAGGACATCAGGCAGCTTTATTTGCTGTTTCTGGAACAATGGTAAATTATTTTTCTTCAAAAAAAAAATTAAATAAATAAATGATAAAATTTATTAAAAATTTTTTTTTCAAATTCAAAAATAAAGACAAATCAAATTGCCATCAGAACACATTTAGCTCAACCACCACATTCAATACTATGTGATGCAAGATCTCATTTACACAATTATGAATTAGGCGGTGTTGCATATCATTCACAAGCAACGACCATTCCCATCACACCAAAAAATCAAATTTATCTAACAGCAATTGATGATCTGCAACCAAAAATTATCAAGGATGATGTTTATGACGTTTTTTCAACTCCTACAAAATTAATTTCTTTAGAGAATACTTTGGATGGTTTGGTAATGCCAATTGAAGAAATCATACAAATTTCTAAACTTTCTAGAAGCACATCCATTAAAACGCATTTGGATGGTGCAAGGTTATGGAATGCAAGTGCTGCAACTGGTATTCCGATACAAGACTATTGTAAATATTTTGATTCCGTTAGTTTATGTCTGTCCAAAGGTATTGGTGCACCTATTGGTTCTGTCTTAGTTGGCAATCAAAACTTTATCGATAGAGCAAGACTTTTTAGAAGATTGTTTGGTGGAGCGTAAGTATAATTTTTCCATAGAATATGAATCACAACTAACCTGTTAATTGATCATTTATTCTTTATCCCTTCTTCTATCTATGAATCTCTTTATCAAAGTTGGCATCAATCAGGAAGTTTGGCAGCAGCAGCAAAATATGCAATAATGACCAATTTTCCTAACGCAATAGTACATTCACATGAACTAACCAATCAATTAGAAAAAGGATTGAGACATTATGGTATTACGATAACTAAACCAGTACATACAAACATGATATTTATTGATACTAAATCCATCAACATTACAATTAAACAATTAGCTGAGCCATTATTGAAATATGGTATTTTGATTTCTGATGATGGTTTATACTCTACAAGATTAGTTTTAAATTATCAGATTACTAAAAATGCTATTGATACATTTCTAAAGGTTGTCAATGATGTAATAGTTGGCAAATGATAAAAGGTATGATAGATGCTGTTTTGGCAATTGATTTTGTAGAAAATTTAATTGATGTTGATTTAGCAGATACAATAAAGATTCCCATACAAAACTTTTAAAAAGCATTATACTATAAACACTAAATTAAAAATTGTCAGAATACTTAACATTACTATTGTTGTTTTTTTTTCATGGTAAATTTTGTTGGTGTAGAATTTTTGTCACGAGACTATTTTAATCGTACCACATATCGTAAAGTTAAAATTAATGGATTTTGTAATTGTGTGTTGTTAATGGTAAAGTTAAAAGCACCTGCATCCGTATTTTTTAAATTATGTCGCCATTGCTTTCCGAATAGATAATAATTGATAATAACAACTTCGATGAAACAAAATCGATTATCAATAAAAAAATTACCCAAAATAAATACATAATAAATAGTAAAGAATATTATTTTTATTTAATTGACTGATATGTGCACATGCATATACCTTTACATTGGTAAAGATATTTTGGCTATTTGCTTTCATACTCTTCTACCATTGATTGGTCAACGACGAATACATTTGCGTCCAACGTATCCCTGACCGGGGATATATTTCTCGATAGGTAACATCCATACAAGTCACAGATAGTTTTATTTTGATCTTTTAGATGGTGACATTTTCATCCAACCTAACTGCATCTTTACCCATATCCTATCAAGAATTAACCATCTACCATCTCCCGTGATTTGTTAAATAGATAATTGTTGACAATGATGAAGACATTGGTGATGTTTTTTGTAAAGAATGAAAATTTTATCACGGAAAGATAATTAAAAAAAAAAAAATTTTATTAGTCTTTGATCCTTTATATCAATTAGTTAAAAAGATTTTTATCATGGAGGTAAAAATCATTGTTATTAAAATGTTGTTATTCAATTGCTGCTTTAAATATTAAATTTATCGTTGCCAAAAAAAAATGTTAGCTGGTAAAAAAAAAGGCTTAGCAATACCAAATTCTGAAAATCTATTCTTCAAGATTAATAATTTTAAAAAAAAAGACGTGGATAATGTTTATTTGAAAAATAACGAGGTTAAAAAAGATAAGTTTTGTGAAATTGTAATGAGGCATTTCAATATCCTTCCAATCTATAATGGTATTCATTTGAGCAATAAAAACAAGAAATTACTAAATATAAGGGAAAAATAGATACATAAAAGCCCAAAATATGGGCGAAATCTTTATTAAATAATTATTCGTGGGTTGCATTGGAGAAACATGTTGGCCTAAGACCGCCTCGAAAGGCAGGCATTAACAGTTTCTATTCTTTGGCCCGCTATTATTGCATAGTTCTATTACTACTATGGTTACAAATTTTTATAAAAAAATTCGAAATTATTCTAATGCCGGTGCCTTCTTCATCAAGACGTCATTTATTTTTATATGACTTGAACCTACACGGAAAAAAATTACGATTAACATGATGCCATCAAAATAACTAACAATGCTATCCATGGTATTGCTTACCTGCCAATACGGCTCTATTTACGGCACTGTGGCCGTTATTATTGAAAATCCTATAAGTAGGAATATAGAAAGAGCTTTAGGCAATAATTTTTCGAATTTATTATTCATTTGATTTTTTAACCGAAAAAATCGATTTTTAATTTTGTTATTTTTTTGATTTTTCCACCCTGTCGCCAAGTTAACAAAAACTCGTATTCCATGTAAAAAAATGCAGGAAACAAACCAGTACGTTTTAAAATATTATCATCAAAACACTAAAAAAAAGTGTGATGTCGGGGAGATATTATTTTTACGATTGTCCCAGAACCAAGTTTACCATTATGACCTTTAGCATGTTGATACATCTCCTCAAGGAATGTAATGCAAGCATTTGGATCATCCATGTATGGGAGCTTGCCCTGGAGACTTTCTTCTTATCTATATCATCTAAGAATGCAATTGTAGAGTTTTTCTTTATCTAGAGGTTCATCAAGAGGGATAATTCTCTGAGGGATGACTTCCTTGTCCATCATGGTCTTCAAAACACGTGATATATTGGTGACAAATCAGCCTTTTCTTTATCTTTAATCAGTAGTAAATTGTTCACATAACCAAGGAAGTCGGGTTTGCTTTGCTACTGGGATTGTTGTCTGTTTTCTAATATGACACAAAACTATAGAGTTAGCACTATCATACTGATAAAATAGTAGAAAATTAAATAAATAGCTTACTTTTCTGTTGAATTTCAATTAAAATTGATAAGTGGTTCATCCACGCATTTCATCTTCAGTCATTGTTGATCATCAAAGTAGACATGATTATATATTCCAGCAAATTGTTGTCAGGGAATAAAATCTTGTAATTTAGAGAAATTCATAATAACTGCAAAACAACTTGTGATAACAAACCTAACTTCATCACAGGGGTTATATACAGGAAATTTAGCAAGAAGTTCAACTTTGATGAGAGGTTTTAGATCAATAGACCCGAGTTGAAAATTGATAAAATGGTCGTATGAGGATTTCACACAACTCTTTTGTCCGATCAATCGCTGTGTAAAAATCAGATATGATCAATATCTTCATCCACAATCATTTAATAAACTGAATAAAAAAAAGTACATATTACCAATACGAGCTTTCTTGGGAGCAGGTTCATTCTCGAAAAGTCACGAAGCAGCAAATGTAAGTATGCAATTAAAAAAAGTACAAATTAGTTAAATGATCACTCAGATGGTTAAACAAATAAATGAAATGGAATGAATGGAAAATAATTTTTTGTATAATACCTTTCTCTTGCCTAATTAGATATTTATTCGCACAATATCCACAATCACAAATGATTCTATGGTCATCTGGACCAAATTCTTCACATAGACAAACTGTACTGTAGATGAAAAGTGCCATCATAATTTAGACCAATAAATAAGAGTTACACAAAAATATAAGTTAAATTACCTATTTTTCGGGCATTTTATTATTACTATTGCTATTTTTAATATTTGTATCCTCTTTTGTTTTCAATATTTTTGTCGTCTTCAATCTCCACTTCTATCTTCTTTCTTTATCAACGCACTGTTGGATGGTCTCTATTATTTTCCTTCTAGGATCAAATTACCATTGATAGAAATTTTTGATTGTGGAGGCTGCAACACCTCTCTCTTTTCCAAACAGTTCATGAATTTCAAGAGCCATTTCGTTAGAAGAAGAGTCTGGATTCAGTTTGCTTTTTTTATCAAATGGATTTTAAGATCCCCATAAAATTTCAATTTCAGAGTGGTATTTTTTTGTCAGCGGTTTATATTACAAAGTTGATTTTATAGTGCAAACAAGAATCCAATTAATGGATGAGATTGGGTAAAAAGTTCTTATGTAATATATGATATATTAAATTTAAATCTTAGTCAGCAATTTTTATTTACTTGGCAGTCACTTTTGAACTATTTGACGCTTTCGAATAATTCTCAAAACGATTTGTTGCATGGGATTAAAATTAAAATTAAATGAATATTTTTATTGTGAAATACGTAACACGTGGTAGTGATCATGATTATTTGAATTCATAAATTTGCTCAGTATTTGAGTCATGTAAATGACGCCAGTTGTTAAATCAGAATTTATTATTGAACGTAGAATTACTAAATTAAGAAAAATGATCGTGGAATTTGTTCAAATTAAGTAAAGATCGGATCAAAACCCCCGTTTTGATGATTCTGAATTATTTCATAACATCACTAATAGTATAGTAATGGTAGTAATAGTAGTAATAGTAGTAATAGCAGTAGCAGCAGCAGTATCAATAAAGTTCTAGATATTCACAAACAGCTGTTAAGTATTCATCACAATTGCAGCATCAATAATTAATGTCATCTGATGGAACTTACATTCAATGTGCAATTCACGAAAAAGGTCTTGTTTCGTCTGCTCTTATTACGGTCACCACAAGAGGTTTATAAATTTATAATGACAATAATGATCACGTTTCTTCAGAATGTCCATATGAAGATCCAGCCGACTTTCTAAAAGATTGTTATAATAATAAGCATAAGGTTTCCGGTCAAAACTACCCCGAAATTGCCGAACATTTTAGGAAAACTATATCGATATTACTTTGTTAATGAGCGAATTAGTTTCAAATTATTTAAATTAAAATAGGTTGATTTATATAGTTTCTTTATATAGTTTCTCATGTTCATTCTTATAAAAATATTGAGAAGCCCAATTTATTGCCAAAACTACTTTTTTTCGAAAATAGTTTGGGCTAGAAGCCTTATATAATCACCCTCCACATTTCAACGAACAAGCTTGTCTAGAAGACAACATCAACAATTAAGGACCATGGCAACTCAGATTTAATGTCACTCACTAATGCTATATTTTTTATTTTCGCATTAATTAACAATGATGATAATAATTCAACAACACTTGTAACATTACAACAATGTAACAACAATAACAATTATAATAGCTGTAATAATTCTGAAGACATTAACGTTAATGGCATTATATGGGGCTTGTAGTATCTTGTGGATCCATCATGGTGATGGGATATTATGAGTGGTGCCATAACTTTAAAATTTTCTTTTTTTATGTACATATTGGTATTTTTTTAAGATAATTTAAATAAAGATCAATTGTTACTACATTTAAACTGGTCATTCTAGCTTATCATAATATAATATATACTATCTAAATACATCTACAACATCATTTCTATTCACTTGTTGTTGTTTTACTTTAATAATTGCATCTATAACCTCTTCAGGCATAGGATCTCCTTGCCAAGAAAAATAGTTAACAAGTATTTGTTTACAATATTTGCTAAAATATCTAACATGATTTAAAACTTCAGGTCCTTCACTAAAGACTAGACTATAATTTATAAGAATTTAGATAAATAAATAATCTTGTTGCCTCTCCTGTCCTCCTGAATAGGTTCCATATCTTTTCCATTGAACATCACCATTGCTTTTGCTGGTAATCTATCACATGTTGCACGACCACTCTTTTACATATAATTGAGATATTGGAAAGTCTGCATGAATAACTATTCGAATATCTGGTACATTTATTCACATTCCAAAAGCATTAATTGCTACAATGATTTTAATCATATCTGATTTCCAAAGCAATAATAACACACCAGATTCTCTTTAACAGGTAATTCACCATAGAGACTTGATAATAAATTTTCACATCCTTTTACAGGTGCACAGTAAATAATGCATTTTCAACTTCATTGATAATCTTCGGAATATTGTTCTTTTTTGTACTTGGAAAATAATTGAATTATTTCCAAAATATTTACCATCAATCACTGATATTTTTTTGATGGTCTGTACCAAGACATGTCATGCATCAATATTTTACATGTGGCTGATAGAGGTAAAATCGGTGTAATTGAAAAGATTTTTTTAAGATTCCAAGAACCTCTAAATAAAAGCAAGAATATAAGCAAATGAGTTAATATGAGAAAGATAAGTTTGTTTATTATAAAATTTACCTAAAATGCAATGTGCTTCATCAACAACGAAACAAATATCCAACTTTTTCTAACGTTTTCCAAAATCCCCCATTGAATTTGATTTTTCAGGTGTTGTGAAAATTACCTTTGTTGATCCACACGAAAGACTTTTTGTTGAAAATTATAATTAACTGGTTGTGCTGTTGATGCATAAAGACTACAACAAGGTATTTCTGCACTGATCAATTCAAACACTTAATCATCAATTAGTGCTTTCAAGCACTACAGCAATCCCTATTGTCATAACTGATATCACCACCTGTTTGTTTCAGAACAAGAGTATCATGATTTTGAACAAAAGATAAGATTGCATCTTTTTGTCCATCATGAAAATCCGAAAACTAAAAATGCTATAAGTGCTGATACACACATTTCCTCTAAGCCGGCAATGTCTGTGATTTCAATTTTTGAATAATAATTTTTATCAATAATTTGGCCAATTCCTATTAAAATTTTTGTATAAAAGATAGTTTGATATTGAAATAAAAAAAGATTACCTGATCTTAATTACACTTCTCAACTTGACCTACATTTCTTATTTGTTGCTGATCACATTTTTTTCAAAAGATCCTGTTGAGATAAAGGTGACATAAAAACCTGATGAACTATACTTACCATTTCAATAACACCTTCAGCATGTCTTGTTTGATATGATACAGAATAATCAATTAATTTTGATGTATAGACAAGTTTAATTCTATTAAATCCTTCATTTTGTGAAGTTCGTGCAGTGATACCAAATTCCTTGTCCAACTGGAAGCCTTAATATTGTTTTAAATTCCTTGTGTTATGGGCTCTAACAAGTTGCAGAAAGTAAATTGCATTAAAAGCTATAGTAACATTAAACAAAGCAGTATGAGAAATGCAAAAAAAATGATAAAACCCCATTTTGTGAATTGGAATTATCAAATGCGCATTTTGAATGGACAACAAAAGAGAAAACTCAACTTTCAAACTTTCTTGAGATTGATCACATGCATGTGTTTAACAAACTCCATCACTTATATTTACACAATTTATATCCCTACTGATAACCGAAGACCATTAGATTTTAGAGGTGAAAATGTTGAGAGTATGTTGGAACCTGTTGGTGGGTGGAATTGACATCATTAAAGATTTTGGAAATAAATTTGACTCCATTAAAATTTCAGACGCAATATCCTGAAAAACAAGAACAAATATGATCGAAGAAGGAAGTCCTGATTGTGCTGATAATATTTATTACGCAAGGAATAATCCAATTAATTTGAATGATGTGACGCTGAATTTTATTGATGTTAAAGTTAAAGTTAATGTGAATAAAATGTAACTTATGAAAATGACGGTAATTCAAATTAACAATCCGGTTAAATCTTCTTCTAATAAAAATAATTATATAACAGTAGTAATATGGTCCTGTCAGAAAAATAATTAATAGATTAACATAAATCAGACACATGATCTTGTACTTGTAATTCTTAGTGTTACATTCAACTTTAGTTTCTATCAAAATTTTATTATTATTAGAAAGCAAAAGGAAAGATATTTATAATTTTGTATTCCGTATGCCAACATTAGAGTATCAAAGTAAAACATGGTCGTGGTTAAATCTTTTGGAACAAGTAAATTAATTAAAGAAAATTTTCTTGGTATATAAAGAAATTAATAGTAATTAGAATTTTTCCCAGTCTTTAAAAATGTAATGACATTTTTGAATAGCCATAACTTTACGTAGAATTCCTTTTGGTACAAAAAAATATTCATTGAAAAGCTTCGAATTTTAGTAATCGCGTTTCAACGAATTCTTTTCGTATTCTAACAGTTGATCATCAATTAAAACTTTTGATTAAAGTATCATCATTATCGTCGTTTATTTCATCGACTTGAAGTAGATCATCATCCATATTAATAATATTATCATATACATTCGAATCAATTTTTTTTTTCAGTTTGAGCAGATTGTAAAAATTGAAAATGTTTTTTGCCTTAATCCAGCATCCTTTGCATGACGACTAAGTAATCTTCATTCCAGCATCATTGTTTACCACAAATGCAAACAACCTTCTTAGCATGAATGATATGGGCACAATATGGGCGTTTTAAAAGTTGTTCTTTACAGTATTTCCACGAAGACATGGAAATGATATTTTTATTTCTACGTGATTCTGGACCTTATTCAAATTTAGGTTTTAAGTATTTTACCTAGTATAATAATATTGCACTTTCTAACCATGGCTAAAATTGCTCCCAGCTAAGCAAACTCGCAGATTATCTATAAATGCATTGCTCTGGGCTCTAATATTACTATTACTATAATAATAAATGACGAAAAAATCCGGATCGCATACACAACTAGTTGCTGCTTTTATGAAATAAACTAGATATTTACATAGTGATAATCATGAAGAAATATTCAGGAGTTCATTTTTTGTCATTAATGGCAAAAAAAGCAACAACATTCAACTTTATTATGTATTTTAAAAGGAAATCACTCGAAAACCCAATTATCAAATTCAGTTGAAAAAAGATTCAAAATAATAAATCTTTGTTTTAAATTTTATTTGACAATTTTTAAAATTATTATTATAGGGATTTTTATATCTATAATTTTCTAATAAGTTTACTTTTAAATAAAATATGTCTAGAATGTATGTCTTAAAATAACTTCTTCTTGTCGTTGTTTAATGGTTTCTAATAATGAAGTGTCAACAACATATTTTTCAAGAATTATTTTAAAATCTTCCAGTTTTTTCATTCTTTCTGAGAGTATGGTAGAACTCTCGATATTTTCTTCTGCCAAACTTCTTTCGATACCAATTTCGGCTTTCCTTCTGAATCCGCAACATCCGCAACATCCATGATGTACAAAACCCCATGGCTTCATGGAATCAACCCCTAAAATTTTTGAAATAAGTAAGTAAATTATTACACAGATATTTGAAAGTCGAAAATGTTACGGATATTCGAATATATAGAAATTATTTGTATTTGACATTAACATCAATTTCGAATATGCTAATTAAATGTGAATATTCGATAGGAACACTAGTATTAATTAAAAACTAGAAAATATCAAACAGTTGTCAAGTATTTAATATACTTACTTGGATCATTCTTATAATTGTATTTATATTTCAGTAATTTTTTCAAAAAGATATTTACTGACTTCATTTTTAAATTCATTCTAATTACCCGGAAGAAGTGAATGAAATTTTTAGGTTATAAGGTTTCGACTTGTTAGCTCCTTTAATTAAGAAAAGTTGACATAAATTATCTCCAAGGCTATAGTCAACATTACATTTAATGTAAAGAACATGTAAATCTTGCAATGGACTATGAAATATTAAATTTGATTCCGAGTTTCTCAAATTGCTAGTTTCAGGAATTGCGAGAAAATTGGCGTCAATTCTAAAATTAACTTTAGTCGGGTCGATTTCAATATCATTCAAGCATTCGTTAGTAAAAACTTGTTGTGGCTGTTGTGGTGGTGGCGGCGGCGGTCCTTTCGGCCTTTGTCGTTTTCTCAGCGGCTTGTTAGTATTTAAATTTATTATAGATCGTGTTGTGACTAAACAAAATCCTCCGCCGGCTAACGGATACCCCGAGAAATTTATTTCTTCAATGCTATTGTCATTGCTGTTGTTGTTGACATCTTCTATTATACCGTTATCTGTAATATTTACGTATGGTTGGTTCGCGTTTCTATTAAATTATTCAATTAGTTCATTGAATTGATTATTTATATTAATATATCTAAAATTTTTATCACGAAATACTTTTTTCGTTTCGAACAAAAAAATTTAAATGCTCACGGCATTGTAAAATGACTCCAAATAATATCATTCGTATTGCTTTTATAGCCAACGTATAAAAATCCATTTTTCTTTAAATATTTAGAATAATAAATTGGTCCTGGTGGTTGAACGAGTCCATCCCGACTCACAGTTGCAACATTTAAATAATTATTACTTTTTTAAAAATAGAAATAATCGAAAATTATTTAGTATGGGAAAATAAATGATCATCACAAAATTATCTATTATTATTTTACCTCCAGATACTTCCTTTCCAATCTATGAGTAAACCATATACACTTGCGTTTGGAACCTCGCTAGAGTTTAAATATGCGACAAAAATATATTGTTCAACTAATGGATAAACATCTAAATAATATTGATAGACACCTTCTGAATAAATTTTACAGAAATTAAAACCAGGAATTTCATTGGTAACATCAATATCTAAATTAATTAAAGTTCCATTTGTAAAATACAGTCGGAAATATAAAATTGGTTGAGTGCAATTTTCATTGTTGAGATCCAAATGTATTAAAATTGTTCCATCCTCGTAAGTTTTAAGATCGTATGCTATTAGGTTATGTTGAGTTTCGGAAAATTGAATTGTGCTATTTAAACAATTTACACCATCAAGGAAAAAAATTATTTGCATTAATGAAAAAAAAAATAGTAATAAAAGTGAAGGATTCTCGCGAAGGAAATAATGATTATTCTTGGGATTCTTGGTGCGAGAAGAGTTCTCGGGTTTAAAGGAAGGAACTTGGCTGTTAAAATTGTCAGAATTCAAGCATTTTTTGTATTTCATTATGTGATAAATAACAAAAAACTCAAATTTAATAAAAAACTCGACTTGCTTGAAAAAAAAAAAATTATATTTCTAAGCCTTTGTTTGCAAAATAGAATTTCTTGATGATGGGGGCTTTTCAACCATCCCTTCTAAAATAGATGTGTGTAACGTGATAGAAAACGGGCTGTTATTATTATTGTTATTATTATGTGAATTTCCCTCAGGACCTCGGATAATCATATTTGAACTGGTGTGTAAAAATTGACAATTTTTTTTTAAAGGACTGACTGGTATATATTAGCATTAGTGTTAATATGTAGATTTGTTAGAAAGATGGAGTATCTAGTTTACTCTCTATTATATATAATCAACGAGCCTTCTGCCTGTCTCGTTATGGAATTGTCGATCATCACATGGACAAAATTTTAAAAAAATTTATTATAATAATAAATAATAATACAAATGTTCAAGTTTATTTGTGCTTTATCCTCTATGTGACCAATAAGTTGATAATAATAAACAATAAATAGAGCTGTCCAGATTTGTCTGTTTAATAATTTCTACTTGGTTGTAAATTACCCTTATTTGTTGTTCAATACACAAATTTAGTTTTATATTGCAAATAAAGTTCTTTATTTGAACAGACAGAGACTATTATATGACTTGATAATGCCGGTAAAACGGTAAATTAACAAAATTATTTAGAAATTGATATAGCAATGTAAAAAATATCCGCTACCATTTATCATTTTCGGAAAATGAAAATATTTTTGTTCAAATTATTTCAAGCCAGCGTAGCAAAAAGAAAAAAACGACCATCGACAATTCAGTTTACTAAAGTCGAACAATAAAGTTTTTAGAATATTCGTTATTCGTTATTATTGTTTTACAACAGAATATTTCAAATTTGGGTATATAAAGAAAAATAATTTACACAAGATATAAAATTTACGACATTTAGAAAGGAACCGTAACACAGAAACCTTTCAAATCTCCATTCTATTCATTAAAACACCAAGTCGAATTTTATATATTATATTTTTATATAATGTCATATGAATACCGATTATCATCATCATCACCAGAAAGAAAGAATTTTGTATATAAAATTTATAATGAAATTTGTATCAATTCATATGGTAATGAAAGTAGAAAAGATTATTTTTTTTCATTGGTCAAAAAAAACAAGGAGCTTTCTGAAAATGAAAAGGAATATTGTAAGGAAAGGTTTATTTATAAGTTTGAATTAGATAATGCAACACATAAATGGGGCAAACCAAAACAATGTAACAAATGTAAATTGATAAGATACTCTGATAGATTCTGTGAAGGTTGCATTGGTTTACAATTACAGAGTCTTTTCACCACCTGGACATCTGGGAATAACATAATTGATGATTTTATTCAACAATGTCAAATGAAATCATCCCTGCCAGACTGTATTTTAGAATGGATACCTTTTGAACAATTTAAAAAAGTAACAAAGTTGACTGAAGGTGGATTTAGTTCGATTTTTACTGCTACATGGGCAAGAGGACAAATAAATGATTATGATGAAAATAAAAAGGAATTTAGTTATTTTGGAAGGCAAAAAGTAGTATTAAAAGGTTTAAACAATTCAAGTAATCCAGAAAAAGCCTTTTTTGATGAGGTTGGTAGTTGTCATTTAAAATAATATTGTGTTATGCATATAATACTAATTGATTTTATATTCAATAGGCAATGAATTATTGTAAAATTAAATCAATATCAGCAAGAGGTCCTTAAAACACTTAAGACAACTGGATTGACATGGAATAATACATATGAAGTCTGTAAG